TCTAAGGTTATTATTCGAAAAACTGGCTGGATTAAGTAAACCATTCAGAATAAAAGCAGAAGGAGTTCACTGCATATTTATTTGATTTCAAAAGTTTGCTTGATGTTAAGATAATAGCAAAAATGCCTGTAATTTGTGTGGGATGCACATTTCGTAAGTCACAATAAAACAAACAAAAATCTACCATACTCTGGGCAGACTATTCATCTAGTCAAAATAAAGATTACAGCTGGCAGAGTATAGGGAAACTTAAAATGTGCTCAATGACATAATGTCGAAATAGTTCTCATACTCAACTGCATCAAAACGGATTACTGGGATTGGAGTGAAAAAAGCTGGTGCCAAATATGATTATTTATTTCATTGAATTCGCCTGAAGTACACAAACTATTTAGCTTAATCGAGCAAACATTATGAACCAGTAGTAGCATAATATGACAATTTACTCAAAGACCTGACCCAAAGTTGTATGCTCCAGATCGTCGTCTTCGTCGGAACTCAGGTCCACGCTTAATCAAGCTTTTTCCCATCGTCTGCATGTCCTCTTGGCCAAACACAGGTTCGCCACATTTTGTCCCACTCTCATCCTCTTGACATGTGTAGTGTACTCGAGCCTCTCGGGCCTCTTGCATCTCCTTTTGTCTAGTCAATGCCATCACCAAATCTGTGACATAAGCGCCAATCTGTCGCTGTAGGTCGGAATTCAATTGTGCAGATGCGCTTCTTTGGGATGAGTAACTGTGTGGAATGGAGGTGGCCTGAACAGCTTGGCCTAGCAAGCCGAGAAAGCAGACACCGGACAGAAGCAATGTGGCACAGATGAGAATTAACTTGTCCTGACAACAGAAGGACATCTTCCTATCTCAATGACGTGTACCTGAGGAGGACTGTAGGGTATAAGTGAATTAAAATTGGTAGATGAATAAGTATATATACTTTTTCCTTGTCCACATGCCAATAAAATAGTCTTAACTACTGTCAGTTGAACCAACACATTCACATATGCATGCGTATAGACGGGCCTGACATTAACTTGTAGTTGCTAGAGACGCAAGTAAAGACACACTGAAGGAGAGACAGAGAGATGGTCGGAACATGTGGGCGATTGAAGCCGATAAGGCTGTATAAACTAGCAAATTTAGAGATCCACTAAAGGCAGATACAGAAGATTAAAGACACTGCTAAGCCCAAAAGAGCGTTTGACTTTGGTGATCTGTTTGTGTCCATTCTGCCGCAAGGGAAGAATAAACATAACATTATATGGCCGTTAATCAAATTAATCAAAGGTTAGCTGTAATAAAATGTATCCATTTTTGATGCTTTCATGTGTAGAGTGTTGTTTGTGCGAAAGAATAGAAGCTATTGCGTTGAATAGCATTGGATGAGTTTAGTAAAGCCAGTGAATTATGATATTATTTACATACAAATGCCATGCCAATGATAATACTATTCCGTATTTTAGGGCCATTGTTCTGAGGCCTAAAAATGCGCGATTAAGAACTTTATTAAGCACTTTTACAAAAAACTGAAAAGGAAGCTAAAGTGTGGGCGGCTATGCAATTAGTGGAGTGAATCGTCGCTTTAACGGTATTATGGTTAAGGATAATTCACTAATGCAAGTATCTGGTGTGATAATCTCGTCTATTCTATAACGATCATCTTTAAAACGATTTAAAGTAGTAAAGTAAACTTAACAAATATAGACAATTTATTACAACTGTTTGTAAAGTGAAGCGGAAAACGAGATCACAACACAGTTTTGTAGCCTGTATATCAATTTGCAATTTATCTGTGAACTTTGCATTTAATTATATCAAAGATATTTACAAATATTGACGCTAGATTACTTGAACTAAATTCAATTGAATAATTTGGAAATTCTTTATTCATTTTATATCAATCTCCATCAAATGTATTATTACAGACACCTCCAATTTATTTCAGAACAAAAACCGAAAATACTAATACCAATCCTTCATCACCTGAAACGAAATAGGGTGAACAAAACGCATAGATCTGATTAATCGGCAGTCTCGAAACTCTAATTTATTTGCTCTATAATAGACATATTAACGGGAAAAACAATTTGTCAATAATTTATATTTCCTATTGTTATTTTACTATAAAACTGATAAAAAATCCATTTCTTGCCCTTGTGTTTATCGTGAATTACCGTTAGACAATGTCCGTCACATGACAAACGAAAGCTCAGCAATTCTATAATTACAACTCCAAGTCAATCTCCCTACAGCTTTCGGCCGAACCAACGAAATTAAAGTCACTCCAACATCAAACAAATCTATGTTTGGTAGCACAAAGACCAGAAGATGCTGTCCATTAAATTATTAAGTCAATACTAAATCGAAAATCTTATAAGATGCATACGTAGTGAAAGAATCCATCTTTAATAAGCGAGAGAAATTGTAAAAGTACAATAAGCAACTAAAACGCATCTTCTTTTAATGTGTTTTTTTTTCTAGAGTCAAATAATAGCAAATTCCTGAACTTTATTTACTAGCTAAGAATACCAAAATGCTGTATGTAAATAATTTGACCTAGTATTCGGAACTTGGTCCTGTTGTCAGGGAGACCAAGTCGGCACACTTTGTCCGAAGTCACCCGCTTCAGTAGTTGTCATAATTCCCAGCCTCACAACATGGACTTAATAGTAAGATTGCCGAACAAGAAGACAATTCTACGTCAATCAAACATGCTATTTTAACTTTTTACATCGTTGCCAACGTTATGTTGTTTCTACTGAATTCTGTGACCTTTAGAGACCAGATCATTCATATTAGTTTAAGGAGATGCTTCATCAGACTTCGATTCAAACGATAAGAAAAACGTTTTTAGGTTTATACGTATTAAGTCGGGGCTCTGAAATTTTATGGACAGGATTGTGAATCAGAAAAACATTGAAAAATCCTACAGTATAGCCAACAAGAAAGCAAGTAGGACTTGGAATTTAATGATAAGGACACATGGCAAAAAATGTCTTAGCTATTGGAATATCATAAGCCAGTGATCCCAGTTTTTGTGGTTTCCAAGGCGACAACACCGACTGATCTGTATGACGAGCGAGATAAAGAGGTGAATTTTACCTCCATTCCTTTTGAGCTCGAAACTCTCATGATCTTAAATAAAAACATCATTGTGGAGGTTTGAGTATCTTCGAAAATTTCTCAGAAATAATGGAAATAATTCCAATAATATCGATACATTAAGAGACGACAGAAAGAAACAGATTTGCAAGGATGCACAAGACCTAGAATGAATGAATAATTAGTTCTTTTTGTGGATAAAGATGAAGTAAAAGTGATGATGGGCAAAAAACAATTCACCAAGAAGAATGAAGGCATAGTACAAGAAGATGTGCATGGGAACAGCAAAATCGACGGATGCACGATAAATTCACCAACAAGAAAAGGGACACGAATACCAACAAATATGTTGATTTGCTTCAAAAAATGGACAAATTAGAAGAGTATTTCAAGATTGTTTATACGAGGCCTAGATTACTTTAAAAAGAAAAATTGGACAATGATGGAAAAATAGGATTAGAATTGTTTACTTTACTTAAATTAAGAAGTCTCATTGCGACTTCTGAATATAATATGATCATCAGAAGCCTACTACTAACAGATGTGGAGTTCTTGATTGAAAAATTGAGTAACTTGAGTCAGGTGTTCTTTGGCAACGGATACCCGAGAAAAGTAATGCCTGTAATGAAGTTGATGGAATAACTGGAATTCGGAACGAAAAGAGACGATAAAGAAAGTCCTACAAAAGTGAATATGCCTACCTTCCTGCGAATTAATTCCCAAACCACAGCTACTATTGATACAATAGAATATTCACATGACCACGAAGGATAAAACAACAATTTTCCCAAGTTTCGCCCAAGCTACATGAAAGGATATACCAATTGGATTACTCAGGAGTTTACTGCATGACATGTGGTGTCTGCAAACTAAAATAAATTGGCGAAACAGCGAAAAAAATCAGCATACAAATCAACGGAAATATCAGAAATAGTGCAACACATTTTACAAACTGGAAATGATATCTTTTGAGAAAGAACAGAGAATCGCCTCATACGACAAAGACACAAGGAAACGGCTATTGGGCAACTCGAAGAAAAAAGTTGTCTGACAGTTTTCGCAACCTGATCATGTTGCCAAAGTGAACTAGTTAAACGCAACTTTTCACAAGTCATAAGCCATACTACCTATCACAATTCCCTGCGTTGGATCGTAAACTTGGTACATTCTCAGGTCCGGAAATGTACCAAAGCAAAGTCCGACCAAGCAATGGTACTGCAAAATCGGCAAAAAAGAGATGCCTGGTTGAACCTGAGGAAAAGGGAACGCAAGAAGGAAGATTGGCAAAATAAGCAAAGATGATCTCACTGAGTTAAACAACAACAACTTGGGA